CATTTTATAAAAGACACTTTTTCTTTTCTTTTCTTTTTCTTTTTATTGACAATAGAAAAAAAAACCAGTAATAAGGCAAGATGTTACATGAATTGTCAATAGTTCGTCTTTCAAAAAGCGACTGAATTGTTATACCATAGAGAAAAAGATATTATTTCTTCAACTATTAGTTTCTGCTGTGCATTATTATTTAAACATAAAAATATCAAAATATTGCAGAAAATAATTGCATGGGAAACGCTGCCGAAACTGTTTCGTCTTCTGTTAACAACTGTTCCGTAACACTGTGTCGAGTCAGTCTAACTTACCCATATCCGGGTGAGATCCACATATTAGCTATCCTGGCAGTTCTTAATCGACATGATTTCGAAATAAAGCCTGTGTTTAATGGTCCTATGACTTTTTATTTTTGTGAACTACGCAAGGGTGTTCCGCCATGGCCTGGTGAAATGCTTGATCGAGCTATACGAGAAGCATTACCTGCCGATCAACGCAACAGAATAATGCGGGATGTGCGCTTGATTTTCGCATGATAATCACAGTGAAGGACGAGCGTATTCTGCTTCTGCTTTTGCTTTTCTATTAAGTATCGTTTCATTAAAATTGTAAGCCAACCTTGCACTAATTGCAGCTGGTCAATATGAGAGTGTGAGGGTATGATAGAGATCAAAGGGCGAAGAAAAGAGAATCATCTTCACTTCTACCATCATTTTGGCCGAAATCCCCACTTTTACCCACATCTTTTGTGTGTACTACTTCTCTATCAGGTGTATGTCTGCCACTTTTTGTTGTAGTTATAAGCCCTTATGCTTTTTGATGTACCCCTTTTGACACAATTCATGTAACATCTTGCCTTATTACTGGTTTTTTTTTCTATTGTCAATAAAAAGAAAAAGAAAAGAAAAGAAAAAGTGTCTTTTATAAAATGGCAGAAAAATTTGAGTAGGGGAACCCTCCTTAAGTTTTTCGAAGTACGATTTCATGTCAGAAAATCGCAAGTTAATCAAACGTTCGAACCTGAGAAACTAACATTTTCCCTTTAAAACTAACCCAACCCTTTTTAAAGGGTCTTAAAGGGAAAATTATAGTTTTAAAAAACAGTTTTAAAAATATAGCTATTTTGTAAAAACTGCTATGTTTGCAACTATTAAGAAAAGCCTAATGACATCTTGCAGAGCAAACAATTCTGTATAAACCAAGTTAATTTTCTTTAACCCTTGTACTACCAACCAGGGTCTATTTAGACCCTGTTCTCAAAAAACAAGAAAATGAGATGAATGTTTTTTTCTGCATGGATCGAAGTAAGAAATACATTCTATGAATGCATTCTATTTGTTGTGTCTAAAATAGGCTTGGGAGTACAAGGGTTAAAAACAAAATGCACTTTCAAGAATTAGGCAGAAATTATCAAACATGTTGAGCCAAAATTAATATTTCGGTCACAAAATGGTGGTTTCAATGAAAATAACGGTCATATGTGTGCACGTATTATATTAACGTCGTTCAAAACAGTGATAATGTAGTTCTGTCTGCGTTGCTCGTAAAAACCAGTGCCGGGAAAACTGCTACCAATAAAGGTCGAATTTCATAATCATTAAAACTTATGACAAAATCGTGTAAGTGAATGTGTAAAGTAGATATCTGTTCTAAACTTAGCTTGAAGTAAAACCGCGCTTTTATAAAACATTTATTGTTATATTCAATAAATATAAAAATATTTTAAAATATTTGTCTTAGTTCGACTTCATCTTCTGTACGATGTATTTTTATTCGTTCACGGCTCAAGGTTCAATGTTCGACCAAATTAAACGCGATCAATTTTACACTACATCATAGCAGAAGTACTTTAAACGGGTACGAACGATCATTACACAACCACGATTTCAACGAACAAATAAAATAAAACAACGACGATAGAATCGAATGAAGTTCATACTCATCAACAAAGCTAAAATCGAAATCCACCAACAGAAATTATTTTCTATAACGAAACGATGATATTTTACGCAACAAACCGTCGCTGAAGGTAATGCAAGTTCGATAATTATAGCACCTCTCTCTTTTTGTTTTTACAAGTGTACTTCCTTCCTTAAGACGGAGTTTCTGAAACTATCAGGCATGGCTCCGGAGAGCTGTCGAATAGCCAAAATTGACCTATAGTTCTTTTGATGCCAGTCGATTCACCACGTGAAACCACGGTTATGAAAACATTTCTACAACCTCATTTGACCGAGATACAAAAGCTTAAGGAAAAACAGAAAATCTTCCTCTTCTTTTGTTTTTTCTTTTACATTATGGTTTCCATTTTTCACTCCACATTTCACTTTTTGTCCTCCCCTTTTCACTCACCTTTGTTCATATTTCACTTTTCACCTTTTGTTCATACGAAGAAGTAGAAATACCTCCTTCTTCTTATTCTTATTTTTAGTTTTTCCGTCCGTACTGTCTATATACGTTCACCTATACGTATATACTATCTGTTTTCCGTTTTCACTCACTCTTGAAGAGGGCTCTTAGCCGAAACGCGTCGTCTTTTTGTTTACTAATTATTTCTCAATAAAATTTGGAGAGATATCGATTATCATATCGTGACAATGCCTTTTACTCACGTACAAAATGAAACAACAGGACTGATGAAACCAGAGGCGGCGGAATGAATTTTGGGTTGAGGATGCTCGTACCACTGAACGCGGTTTTTGGGGGTGCTCAAATGATTTTTTCGTGAGCTTCTGCTGAGAGAAAAAAGTCTTTTTAGTCACGTTTCCAAAAGTTCCAAAAAGGCGGCGGAATAGGGGGTGCTTGTGCTGGAGGTGCTTAAGCACCCCCTATTCCGCCGCCTATGAATGAAACCGCTGTAAATTGGAGAACAGTATTATACACTTCAATCAAATCTTCTTTGAAGGGTGCTCGTATAGGATAATTATTTGTTTGGTTGAAGAGAAGATGGACGACATGCTTGCAAGTTGTACGTTTGAAAATGACCGTATAAAGGGTCGAAATATTACAAAGATAAAAAAAAAAAAAAAAAATAAAGTTCAAAACAGCTGCATTAATAATCAAGTTTATGCTTGCATATAATGATTGTAAAGACACACTACTACAGCATAGACGGAAAGAAAGATAATGAACTTGAATTAGACTGGTACAACATCGAAGCCAGCCCGGGGAAAATGAACGTTAATATTGCCTGTCGTTTCATTTGATAGACGGAGCACGATTTCGTAATTGTTCGCAGCGACGAATGTTCCTTCGACCGGTACACGGCCAACATCATCAGGTGTCACTCGCAGTCGCTGTCCGACATGCCACTCGCTTTTTAAGTCATTTTTGATGTACGTGGGTTCGATTGGTTCGGCCTGCTTGGCCACATCGAGTGCCTCTTCAGGCGTTATCTCTTTGCTGGTGCCATGACCAAATTCAGCTACACGCTTGAGCCACGCCGATAGTTTGGGCTGAGTCAGTTGTGGTAGAACATTCTCGGTTTCATTACCCACGCCTCCCATGATGAACCAAAGTCCGTGATAAGTGGTGATGTCGAGTGCACATGGCGATGAATCTCCAAGCAGAAAATTGCGACCGTCAGCCAACATGTCGGTAAGCCAGGCGAGATGTGAATTGATGCGCTGTACGTTTACTGGAATATCTTTCTCGTTGTCTTCCTTGGAAAAAGTGTGTCCTGGAGCAAACTTCTTTCGATCTTCGATAAAAGCTTCGGGTAACTTGTCACCATGAAGCCCGACTAAGATTCTTACCGCGGGTGCTAGTATCGATTTGTCCCACCACCAGCACAAAGGTTGTATGACACTGTTTGAAAAGAGTGCGGGCGAGTCGGGTCGAAGACGATCGAGCGTCCGTAAAATTAAATGAGTGTCACAATACACATCAGCACCCACTTGAAGCACCGGTATACGACGATATCCACCGGCTAGAAGTTCAAGGTGTGATCGTGGGAGTATATTATTGACGATTACGGAGCGCCAGTTTAACTTTTTCAAACCCATTGCTAGTCGCACTTTTTCGCTGAATGGCGATCGTGCATAGTGATGGAGAATTAGTTCTTCCGACATACTTCTAACACTCCGTCAACTTCAAGAAAATGTCCACCAGTAAAACGAATATTGTTACTTATATACCTGTGAGTAAAGAGAAAAAAAGAGGTAATTATCGTCGAAGATAAGAAGAAAAAACGAAATACTGATAGAACGTGCTGCACGCACTAATAAAATGACAGAACGAAGGTAGGATGGATGGTCATTCTGTGTGAGAGAGAAAGAGAGCGAACTGTTTTCATCTATAAATTCAGTTGTGGTTATATGTGAAGAATACGTTTAGTAACAAAGAAAACTTGTCTTCATCTGATTTCCACATCAACTGAAATGAACAAAGCTTGGAGTTGTTATTAAACGCGTGTACAGCACGTTCTATCAGTATTTCGTTTTTGGGTCCGTTTCTCATTTCCTTTCACGTGGTTGAGGTTTGTGAATGAATTTGAACAGCGATTTTATGAGACGACTGAGGTAAAGTATATTTTAAAAGCAGTCTTTATATGTACCCTCAAACTTTGATTTCGATATACGATTTTCGTTATTCGAAAGAGGAGCCTTGGGGACATCTTTTAATAACCAAAGCAGTTTTCAAATTGTGTTTTCCAATAAGGTTTTTTAGGAAACCTTTGGGAAACCGGACCATAACCAAATAAGTTGAAACTCAAATCTATTGACTTTTTCCATGAGGAGCAGATAGCCCCGAGTGGTCTCTTTACAATGGGAATCCGTCGACTTTTTCATTTTTAAGCCATAATATAGGATTTCTTAGGGAAAATGTGATAAATCGGTACCTTCAAAATAATTTTTAATTTTTTTCTTGAAACTATTATACAAAACCTAAAAAAATTAAAATTAATTCCTTTTTTATTTTCGAAGAAAAGGAGAAAAAATGTACAAGAATAACACATATAGGCAGCGTAATGTCAGTGTGAACAAATACAAATATGAAATAGATCAATTATAGCATTAATTGACAGATAAAATAAAATCAATTACAGATTTAGCTACTAAGTTGTATGTATTTTTTAGACAAGGAATGGCCTGAGTTAGCACGGGCATGGTTAGAGGGATGCGGCAATATATCTTTAAGTTTATTATATAAACATTTTCTTTGAGATTTAAATAGGCGACAATGGAGCAGGAAGTGCTCTCTTGACTCAGCATCTGCATAATCACATGGTTCAGCTGTAGAAAGATTTTTACGGCAGAGGTGGATATTTAATTGAAAGAATTCAATCTGGTATAAAATGATGTGGTCTTCTCTTACAGTATCATGAACAGAGAAGGTTGGTAAACGAGCAAAGATAATATTATTGAGAGTTTTAGCAAAACTTTTCAAAGGCCTAGTTTCTTTATGGTGGTGAGGCAGATCTTCCATTGTATGAGGATGTGTAGAATGAAGAAGTTCTCAAAGTCTTTGCTGGAAGTGTAGATTGGTGGTATTTGAGGTAGTTTTTGAACTGTTTGCGGCCATCTATGAGCAACAGGTTCTGGAATCAAGCCAGACAAAATACAAAGAAGCAAGGCTACTGAGAATTCTAAACAATATATATTTATGTTCTTGAATAAAAATCCAGTTCATTTATTGTACCTAATTATTGGTACCTAATCCACGAAAAATAAGTATTCGAAATAAGAATACTGCTATTGCTCTCCGTTAATCGGCATACTATATCTGTCTTTCATAAGAAAAGAAAGGAAACTATTTGTCTACTTTTACAACAAAAACTTGCTTGCTACACTTCAAATTTCTCTTCTGATATTTTTACTAATTACATCACTTGTGTAGTGTATCAAATTAGGATTTCTTTCGAATACATATTTTTTTCCTGTGCTTAATAATGTCACTAAAACTGTCGGTAACTGATAAGAATGTCCACGTTAGGATGTACTAGCAATTATCATTTTAATGATAAAACAAGTATATTTGTTCGTTTTTTATTATCTAATTTCTTTTAGCAAGAATTCCGATAGCACTTCACAGGTAAACTCTCAATAATAATGTACTTTTAACCATACGCTTAACTTGTGGTTCAGAGAGATTGTAGTCATGGGGAAATATCACTGCCTGGTACTGACATTATTATTGGTATATGTAATGCAAGCATTTGCCCGACTAGTAATAAAAACACAGCCGGAAAATCGTCTGACCAATAGCCTACTAGAGAGGGATTTATCAATGTAATTGACCGAAATGTGAATACAAAATATAATAGTTCGAGTAGAACAGCCGGTGTGGGAACTGGCTTCTATATCGCTCCAGCGGTTGGAGTGCTATCGTAACATCTGTGCGCTTTGCAATCGCGAATCATAACGAAAACTGCGATCCTTTAACATTCACTCTTGAAGGTAGCAATTCCGCACTTAATGTTTTAAATCTTGGTACAAGTTAGAATCTGCGGTTTAATGGATCAACAGGAATTCCTATATCGAGTCCGACTGCAAGACTAACGTATTTTGGACTACAAAATGTTTCTAATAGCATAGCTTATACAAGTTATCAATTAATAATGACATCTCAACGTGGTGATGACACAAATTTATAATACAACGAAGCGCAGCTTTTCGGTTCGATTTAAGATATTCGTTCACAGTTGGTAAAGCGGCATGTGCTGCGAATTCTTGCAAACACAAAGGAAAGGTAACAAACATTTTTTTAATAATGAATCTTGTCAAGGGATGAATACATTAGTGACATGAAAGATATATTTATTGTTTTTTAAGTCTGTGCAATAACTGGAAATCATTTTTTTTGCAGAAAGGAAATTTCACAGAATGTTGTCCACCGTATACATAAACTTTTTGCCAAATTCCAAGTCGCATCTTATAGAAGTTGAAATTCATATCTGGAAAAGCTTTTACAATGATACTAAAGGGTAACGACACGATCGACAGTTTTATCTCTTGTCAGAAACTCCACGCAGCATCAAACTTTTCCCCCATAACTATAAACCACATTACTGACGAGGGATGGTCCCCAACTGTCCAATCGCTTTTGAGCTGAACCTAAGTGGACAATAGGTAATCGAGGGTGCTGAATCCGAATATCACAATCGTTTGGGCTAACGTTGGATTTTTGAACCGGTTTTCCGAAAAGCACGTGTACTAAAAGGAATACAGACTTGTTCGTCAAAAGTTCCAGTTCGGGAACCAGCAGCTTTGTTTTAGAAGTACCTGACGGTTCTTATCATTTTCTTCGCATTAAGGTTCAAAACAAACGCGGATCAGGCTTGGAAGCGGCCGATCACCGGTTAAGTGCCCGTTTAGCACCGAAGCGGTTCCAACATCGCGTCAGATTCTTGATCTGTGCAGAAAGCTACATCGGATGGTACATTTGGCAAATGCTTCTTGAATGAGAAAATCTCATCCGAAATTTTCAGCCTGTAGCTGTCTCAACGTCTACATAACAAATTTCTTTTACAGATGCCTCAGGGTTATGTCTGGTTGTTCAGCCTTCTTTATTTTAATATGTGTTTTCTGTGTTAACAATGAAGATACAGAACGTTTTTGAATATGTTGACGTTTATCACAACGGCTTAACAAGATGACGGGAGCGTTTAGCAATAAATTTATAAAGTGTAAGTACTTTTGAACATATTTGACAGTCTTACACTGTAAAATTGAATATTAAATGATGGACTAGAAAAATAAAATGCTAATTTTAAAGAGTTATGTTTGAAAAAACAATATTTTGTTTTTGATAAATTCAAATGGTTAAAAAAATGTAGAATGAACGTATTGTCGGAATTATTATTCATTCTGTTATAACGGTCTTGTTACTATCGAATTGACGGATACTTTTTGCGATGAGAACGTCCGTACTTTCCATCTTAGTTTACTGAATCGGTTGCTACAGCTTTTCATCGGTCAGAAAACTTTATCAGGGTGAGTACGTGTTTCGAAGCCAAGTATGGTATAGAAGTCAGGTCAGTATGAGTTCACGAGTTATCTGACTCTCAAAAGTTTGAAAGCCTCAGAGCGTTATTAACTCAATTCGTGTAGTTCATCGAGTATCTGTAATTTCATTTGGTTTTATCTGTAATACAGACTTTCGAAAAGGACGTAATATTACCAAATATTTCAGTTTTCTTACCCTTGATAACGGACCCTAAGTGGGGGCAACGTTTGGCCTCATTCGTGGAAACTACCCCACCCTTCGGTCGGAGTTTGCTAGGGACTCTCTACCCTGCGTTATGAATATTTCTCTGATATGATGTGTCAGCTTCGTAAAGCAGCTTCAATCTATAAACGTTTTCTCGAGAGCCCCCAAAGAACCCCAGAGGTCCAAAAATATTTCTAAATTTCAGACAATGCTCACGCGTCCCTTCGGTCTGCGCTCGCAGCCAGGATAGGTGTTACACTATGCATGTACGTCCGTCACACCTCTGTACGAACAAACACACACACACAAACACTTTATTTTATATGACTACATAGACTTACACTCAATGGAATAACAACAATGAAACTTTATAGCCAAACTTACTGAAGTACTTTTAGGGTTATAGTGTTTAAATAAAGTCATCAGGATCAAACAAGAGTTAAATTACAATTAGCATACTACTAACAATTTTTAAGCAAAATAATGAAAATACATCACACATGTTAGCTGACAATCAAAAACTCGTGAAACGTCAGAGTGATAATGTATAGCAATGGTGCAGTATCAATAATGTACTTGTACTGCTGTTACACATCATCATTCTAGAAAATGCTTCGTGAATATTTTTATTATTACCTAACGTCTTTGACATATTTTGGCACTATTGTGTTCAAAAGTTGTTAACATCTTACTAATTAATGATAACACACATGCAACGTTGTGTACGTGTTATTTGATACTTTCCATGCTGAATTTGTAATCTGAATTTGTAATCTGAATTTCTCTTTCACACTTGTCAGTTCATGCTGAAAGACTTCCTCATTGTGAGCTATTGCGGTGGGCAATGTACGTTTTTCATCTGCAGAAAGTTCCAGCTGCTGTATTTCATTGACAGTGGATTGCGTCAGACGATGATGAT